AATATTCTATAAATATAAAAATATTGGAAATCAATGTGAAACTTTTAGAAGAAATTTTTAGAAAATTTTGTAAATTTGTTGAAAAGTCATAAGTTTCGGAATTATAATCTTGGATTATTATTGGAAATGTTGGAATTTGTTAGAACGTAGAAGAATTGTGATCATGTGACGTTATCGTGAATGAAAAAATGAATTTAAAAATTATAACTTCATATATGATCGTAATAATATTTCAATTACTTGAAAAAATTTTAAGCTTAAAAAGTTTGAACAGATTGATGGTCTCTGTTGTGTTGCTGGTCTTGAAAATCGAAAAAGTAACATCACCGATACTTTAAATAGTTCAAGAAATTCCAATTTGTCCTAATGGTCTTTAGAGCCCTGAAGTATTCGTGATCTAAAAGCTCGAGCAAAGAGATTTAGAAGAGCTTCGTGATATCAGAACATTAGGATTTTTCGGATGATCTTGGAAGTTTTATTAGGTTTTCAAGTTGCATTTAAGTTCGAAGTTATATTAAGATTGAAACTAATTTGAAGAATGCATGAAAACTATTATAACATTTTAAATTATTATTATAATTCCGAAATTTTTAAAAGTTTCGAACATAATTAATGATGATGGGTTTTCTTGTAAACAATTTATTTGAAAATAGTAATAAGAAACGAATCGAAACTTCCTGCAATTTTGAATTATATAACTATAATAATTCATTGTCCAATTTTTAAAATTGAATATAGAAGAGAATATTGTAGGTCGTGTTCATTTTCATTTATCATCTATCAATTAGATCATTGCTTTTTAAAATACTAATACTCGATACATTTTCATGTTGAAACCGACTACACACATACGGAGTTACAAGTTGATTAACACAATGTTTTTCTGTTTTCTGATTTTGTTTGAAGAAACCGTTCGGGAAGCCACAATATGCGGTAATTACACATTCATCAATCTTTCAGTGTTTCTTCAAGTATTCGTGAACTTTCTCTGCATCTTTCTCTTTCTCTTCGCTTTTGATTTCTTCCAAGTATTGATCCCAATTTAAAGCCACTTCTTATAAAATTATTATTATCAATCGTGTATAAAAATATTTTTTATCGAAACAAAATTTATTCTACAGCTTTTTTTATTCTAACAGTTGGTTACATTATTTTGAATCGTGTTATTCTTGTTGTTTTAATTGCTTACTTTTACAATTATTCATTTTTGAGATTGAATTGATAATTGAAAAGAGAGACGAATTTTATTTGAATTGTTTTTTCTTAAAATTATTTTTCTCGATCCACGTACTTATATTTTATTCAACTTTTTTTTTTTTTTTTAAATTTTACGAATCATTATAATTATTAACACTCACTACAGAATTATTATCAAACTATCAAATTCTGCCATTGCTTTTTCGTCATTACAAAATCAAGAAAAAAAAACGCAGAAAAAAATGAAGTTTCTTTGTTATTCTATCAAAATGTTTGTTCGTACTGATTAAGTGATAATGTACAATCGAGAAACGAACAGATGTTCTCGGTCGACTTTGAAGAAACTTTGAGAAGACCGAACTAGTCTATGTTGTTATGACTGATTATTAGAAGACTGTTGTCAAACTTTTAACTTTCAACCTACTTACAATTAATCCGACTTAGTCTTCTTATTGAACTTTACAAAATTTTCATCTCATCGTTATTTTTACAAACTTTTATTCGATTTATGGAATGTGTTATCAAATGTGTCATACTGGAACTACACTCGTTAAAAAAATTATGCGAATAATTATTAATAATAATTTCCAGTAACAATAATATTATTTTAATATTTATAAAAAAAATTTTTTTTAATAGATGTGCAAGAAATATGTATGTATAACAATAATCTAAATTCTACTTATTAAATTTACCAATAATACTATTTATTAAAGTACTTTAAGTACTTTGCATTATACGAGCAGTTTCGAATTCATGCTCTCAATTCTCTGAGAAGATTGTGTAGGTTTCAGACATTATTGACTGAATGTTTCTGTGGCTTCCATTACGAGTGGAATAAGTAAAGAATGACGGAGACACGGTTTCCCCCGGATATGCGCTTATGAAACAAGTTTCTCAGAGACTTTATGAAAATGGAAGATGTAGAAGAAACGTTTCGAAGTTTCGAAGTTTCAACATATTTTTGAGTTTAATATTCTCATAACTTTTTTTCGGATAATTTATAATACACGAATTACACGATAATCTCATTTTTTGAAAAGTTAATACGGAAAACTTCTTTCTCTAGAGTTAAAATTTTTTCTTTTATTAAAAGAGCAAGTTATAGCTTCTATGATATAGCATTTGCAAGAGCATTTATAAATTAATCTCTCTCTGAAATAATTATTTAATTCTGTGCCCATGCTCTTAATACGGAACAATTAACTTTAATTAAATCCTTTTTTCTTTTTTGAATTATTTTAATAATTTAACGAAATATATAATCCAAAATTCTCATTGCACGATAAAATAAAATAAAATAAGAATGCTTCGCAATGCCTCATAAAATTTTCTAAACTAACGTCCAATCTTACAAAAATGGAGAAAAATATATTGTTCGTATTAAGCAAAAGAAGGATTTTAATATGCAATTAATAAATGTTTATATTTCATACTTCGATTCAATAATACGTGTTTTCCTCAAATATCCGAGAAAATACCATCCGAGATAAAAAACGAGATAAAAGAAGAAAGGAACAGGTTATCGTTTAATTAAAGCGATACATCTTTAACGGAATCGCATAAAAGAATAATTCATATGCTCTTTTCTGTTTGAATAAATTCAAGCGACTTTATTCCTTTCATTGCGGATCGTTCGCAAATTTTCCGCTCGTTTACACGTGTGTTTACATGGTAAATTTATAGGGCGATGCAGAAGCATTTTGCAAATCCGGGATGACAAATTGTGCCTTCGTTGGTATAATAAACGAATGAAAAATACCAGGAAAAATACAATTCAAATTGTAATTTTACTCTCGAAGTATTTATAAGAGTATTTTTCTTAAAATATTAATACACGATATATTATTGTTACATGTACATATAACATTATTTATTATTAGAAACGAGACTAAAGTACTCTATTTAGAATCATGGCATTGCTCGTGATTAATATTATAACTTTATTATTAAACTATTAATTTATTTTCATCATTTCATTTTCTTTCATAAATATATATCAAAATTCAACTGATTCATCGAACTAGAAAAATAATTGAAATTTGCCTTTATAAAAATCTAAAATATTTCTTAAAACAGTTCAATCGATTATACGAAATTTTATTCGCAAAGTTGTACGTGAAATTTAACGTGGCGAAAATCTTTATAACCGTTATTTTCGATTAGAACGATTTATCGAATTGTTTACGATAATTAATATATCGTATATCGATAAACGAAGTCAATATTGAAAGAGACAGCTCGTGCTAATAAGTATCGGCCTGTTCAATGTTGTTTAATAACCGACAATTAGCAACTGAATATTAGCGCGCCTGTTTTAGAGCTTTTATCATAATCCATTCGTAAAATATTTCACGTATTTTTTTTTCATTTTGTAAAAGTAATTTCTTATCGCTTTTTGATAACCGATGGATTAATTTTCCATGCTATTTAGATGATCCTGTGAATAATGCTTTTCCGTTTAATTTTTACGTATTCCATTACCGAATGGTATTGCTTTATATCGACGAGCTCCGTTTCGTATTTTAGTATTAACTCCATATTTATGATTGAAGCTTGATAAAAAAATTATTAAAACAAATGTCTTCAAGAATTGTTATTATAGAAGAACTATAAAGCAACTATAAAGAACTCTCAGATTTATAATAAAAATTCCAATTATTTTTAACAAAATTATTTATTTTTATACGTGTATTCGTTCGATACTTTGAATAATTTGTATCATCAAGTTTTCCATTGAAATTCTATATATCGATAAATTCTATATATCTGATTATAATATACAATATAATGTTATTATTTTCCATGAAATTTTAATCAGAGCATGATTGCGGAAAACGTGTAGTCGCTAATCCGTTCATTTCCTTATATAATTTTTGAAAATATAAAATTTATAATTATAACGCTTGCAATTATTCGCGTCCAGTCCACATGATATTCTGCACCATTGTCACCAATCGCGTATCAACCAATCGATTGATCGTAGAACGAAAATCAAGCCTTTATACGCGCCGATAGAATGTTAATTTATGAACAGGCGGAGGATATAATTAAAGGCAGCGTTCCGTATCAGCGTACCGAGTCATAGAGGCATGGATATTCAAGCGTAATTAGTTATATCGGTGATTTCGGGTAATTGCATTCACGGATCAAAATTGACAGTCGCTAATTAAGCTAGAGATATCGAGACTTATATCGAAACATGTAACTCGGGAGCCTATCCCATTCGAATGTGACGAATGTCACGTCATGCGGAAATTTTAACTTTAAATGTGAATTACAATCGTTAGAATTGAAATTACAATTGAAATTTTCTTTTCAAAATAAAATCTTATAACAATTCAGGGAATCACGCCATCGAAATATAATGAGAATTTACATTTATTTTAGTAAATTTTGGCCCGAAGATTCGTACAACGATATTTTCGATATATTTCATAAAATCACATTTAACATATCACGAATAACGAGAATCCAACATCATCCAGAATCGTTAAATCGATCGAGAAAGAAAATAAAGAAAATGGTGCGTTAAAAACGAACTAGCTAATAAGAATAATTTACGACGCGTCGTTGTCTCGCCTTTTAATCGCTCCCACGGTACTGCCAGCCAAAATATTCCCCGTTTTATCACGTAGGTCGACCTATTTGCATTAAACGACACTACTTTTGCGCCAATTTATCGCGCGGATATGTTTTACGCCGCTCTTCTGCTTTATGACGCGTGGCTCCAACCTCTGATGCGAAGATAAAACAACCGTGGAGGAGAAAACACCAAAGTTTCGTAAGCGGGCCATATTCCAGATAAAACGACTTCTTTTTTTCTTTTCTCCCCGCAGTCACACACCACGTTGTCGCAATTAATTTATTCGACGTCATTCCGCGAAATACAATTCCGCTGTTGAATCGCCATTCGTTTGGAAGCGATAAATGGCAGTTGCCGTGCAGCTGCTTGGTCCTGCGTAATGGCGAAATTAGTGATTTCGTGGTGTTTTGTCCGTGTTATGTTTCAACAGATATTTAAGAGGTCTTTTGCCGCTTTAATTGAGCAATCGTGTAATTGGGGGATGTATTATATGGTCTTTAATTAAATCTTGTTGAATTTTTTTTTTTCTTTTTTAGATTTGATTTCAACGAAATTTATAATAAAAGAATTACACTCGTGAAATATTAAAACGAAGATCGTAAAATTTGCATTTTCTGATAATTATGAATTAAATTTTCGATTATTTCTATGAAATTTTGATTACATTTGTACATCATTAGACAGATATAAAATAAACTTTTTAAAGGAAAATTTTCTTCGATACTATAAATTATCTCGATCAATAACATCCACGTCGTTCGATATCGTTTTTTACTTAGCTAATTGCCAATTAAGAGGAACTATTTCTTATCGAAGACGGGTTTTATTCGAAAAGAAAAAGATGAAAAATTAGATCACATGCTACGAAAGATAGGATATCGAAACAATCTTTGCGAACGATATCTTTTTTGTCCAATATTTTTCAAAGATATCTTCGCTATCTAATTTTTCAATCCCTTTCTATTCCTTCCAATTGAAATAAAAATTATATTTACGAAATTACGTCATAATTGCTCATAACTAAATAAGACAAAATTCGTGTAAAAGATAGAATAACAAATAAGCCTAGGAACAAAAATTCCCAAGGATTCATAATTAAACCACGCATCACATTCGAAAGAAATCTATCACGGAGAAACAATGCGATTACGATCAATTTTTCCAACAGAGAATTCCCAACGCTTCCTTTGACCAACACGTTAAAAGATTTATTATTAAGAAAATACGTACTAAGAAAGAAAACTCACGAATGCAAGGCGATGCCTCCGTTTCCAACGTCGAACGTGTTCAGCATTCCGATAGAGTTTCTAATTGCTGAACTGTGATTAAAAGGCCCCGTTACTCCTCGAGTGGATGTGTAACTCGATTAAAAGAAGCGGAATCGCTCTTAAGCGTACTAAACATCGAGAGAAGAAAGGAGAAGCGAAGGAGATGAAATTGAATGAAACGAAAGAAACGTGAAGCGAAGGAAGCGGAAAGTGCATGGAAGCTTGAGTAACAAAAAGTAAAAGATGAACTAATGATCTCTGGTGGAAAGAAGCTTATAGGAAAATTCTTAGCCGGAGAACGAGTGCGTGGATTTTCATCGAAATTTATTCGATCTGCCCTTTGAGAAGTCTCGACCCGCTAGATTCACCTTTATATACGAATTTAACAACGATTCAAGATCGGAAGAGTAACCACAAGTGGCGCTGCCGAGTGCAAATCGGGAAATTCATAAGAAGGGGATCAACCGGAAAAGAAATCACTATCTTTAAGCTTTCTCTTTCTATTCGCATTTCTTTTTCTCGCTCATTGTTACTCTTTATTCCTCCTCCATCTTCGAGGCTTTTTACTTCTTTTCCTCTTTCGTTAAACTTTCTGAGAAAATGCCAGAGCTCTAATAGGGAAACAAATTTTCAACTTTGAACTAACTTCACGACCTCAAATACGAATTAATGTGACAAATCCTTTATAGATTCATCTTATGATATCCTGATAATTTCTGTGGTTTATATGATATACTATTTAAGTTGAGTTATAAAGATAAAATATGATTTTGATGTACAAGAATTAATTGAAAAGAAATAATATTTAATTTGTTGAATATTCATTGTTCAAATTATTATAAATACTGAATTATTTAAGGAACAAAAATAAATGTGTATTTTGAAATCGTTTAAATTTTGTTTAAAATTTTCTAAATAATTCTTTTATAATATCTATATAAACTATGAGCATTTTAATAAAATTACAATGAATATTTGTTAATCTATCTCATTTCATAAACTCCTTATTAACTTTCACTTAAGACATTAAGTCATAATTTATTCTAATTCATATTTCATACCTTCATACACGATACAAATTTTCAATTCGTCTCATAAGAAAAAAAAAAAAAAATTAAGCAATTTAATTTCAAATTTCATATTAATCATCTCAAACTCTACTTTAACCACTAACTATACTAACATAAGAGAATTAAGAAAAGAAGGAAAATACTTGGAAAAGCAGTAAACGAAATATCTTAGAATAGTAAAGCTTTCCTCGAAACTAAACCTTTTTCTTCTTACCTCCGCATAAGTAACAAATGCACACGTAACGAAGATGACTTATCGTCTAACAACATTCCTTCCAATTCTCTTCTTTCTACTCTCTGTGAGAAAGTTGCAAGTAGGAAAGCGCACATAACTTTTAACTCGGCCCTCATCTTCCGTCGTAACTTGCAGTTAGATATGTACAAGTTCTTGTTTGCACGAGACTGACTTTCAACCGTTCTTCGAATAAAATCGCGCCACCAAACTCTCTCCTGTTAATTATAAATTATTTGCCAAATTACAACTTTGCCACTGTGCTTTCTCAGATTTAATAATGAAGCATTATTACGAATACGAAATTGATTTTTATAATTGGTAAATCAATTTAATTTAACCGATATCGATACGAAAATTTCCGAATAATGAATTATTCAACAACAATTTCATTATTAAAATATTTTTCCTATTTTTGGATGAAAGGAAGCCGCACAATGTTTGATATAATTTTTTCCCTGGATAATTAAAAATTTTGAAAAACTTGAAAAGTAGCGAAGATAATTCGTAAAATTGCATATAATATTACGTATTGATAGATCCTTCTAATATCTGCACATTACGCGATTTATTCGAAGAAACGGATAACTCATTTTCTCTTTCTATATCGTTGTTTCGGTGTGTTAAAGCATGTTGACGCGATTTTAAAATTTTTCTCAAAATCCCTTGATCTTTTATAGATACCTACGGCAGCGGACAAGAAGAAACTGTATTTCAACGTAGCTCAGGAACCAAACGGAAACCAGATAATGACTGTCGAAGGAGGTGGCGTGAACGCGACAATAATTACCGCAAATATCGCTGCTACCAATGGATTGATTCACATCATCGACAGAGTTCTTGGAGTTCCATACACTACCGTGCTGGAAAAACTTAAAACCGACCCTATGCTCAAGTGAGTTAATATTTTTGCGTGTATTTATATTATTAAATTATTCATTCTTTCTAAAACGAGCGAAATAATAATTTGGAAATAATTATTTGAAAAATTATATCTTAGAAATATTTGATTTAGATATTACTATTTATATAATTATGATAATTTTTGTATCATACCGATGAAATTATTATCCTATTTATCTATTTCTCTTTCATTTCTATTTATGTGAAGGAATTGATTTTAATCGTTTATTTGAGTATAATTCCATTGTATCTCAAATTTAATTAAAATAGCATGAAAAATCTTCGTTCCAATCGCTATTGTTTCGCTTGATTGAAACTATAAACACAGCTCTTATGTGGAGAATCGAATGCTATTCTGGTCGATCTATTAAATTTCTATTGAATGCAATTGATCTCTTACTGATACCATTCCTACGTATTTAAAGGATTCTATTTCAAAAGAACGATTAAACAGATTGATTCGGGAAAGCGAACGAGCCTATACAATCATTTGTCAAGATAAAATAGAAAGATCGATAGAAATAAAGAGAAAAATAAAAATTAGAATCTATTCGAAAACTGATATGATAAAGAATATTTATAAATATTATTAAGAAGTTTAAAATCCTCACAATATATATATATTTAAATAACTTTCTAATATTTTAACATTTAAAAAATAAAATTTATTAATGATTTCTAAATGTTCCCAACGTTTGTTCGTGCATCACATACAGAAACATTCTTTTCATGCGCGAAACATCCATTCTGCTAGATTGCCCTAATGAAACTGGTCCCATGTACGTGTTCGAATTGTGAATATTGCGCGGCCAGATCCGTCACGATTTAATTCCTCTCCCGTTATTTCAATTATCGATGCATCGATAATGGAATATACAATTAAATAATATTCCTCCAATAATCGATAAATAAACTTTTGCGATACTAATAAAACCTTATCGAAACGAGTGAGATTAAATATTTAGGTAACAAACGAGGTGTATTCTATCGTGTAAAACTATCAAATTGATCCAAAATTCTACAATTGTCGAGACAAAAGCATAGCATACAGAGAAAGAGTATTGATCATTCAAGTATTAAATCCGCGACAGATACGCGTATTTTTCTTCGAGCACGGCAATTCGTTCGCTTCAACGTATCTCAAAGCGCTTGGTTAGACGAATTTATTAGTAAACGATATATTCATCGCAAACGATGCAACGTCATGCAGAGGAAAGGATAGCCGGCTAGTATCCTATCTTGTTACGAGGAATCGTTGAACAGCTATCGGTTAGGAAACGATCGGTTATACGCTACCTTTAATGCCATTAGTCCCTTTATACGATAGCTATCGTTATTCGATGCGGTGGATGGATGGTGATGTCAGCATTCCATCACCCCATACCCATGATATCCACAAGCCATCGATAGCACTACTTCCCTACCTATGCCTATACGTCACGTCTCTGCGTTTACGAATATCAAGATCCAGTGGATCGATTTGTTTGCCTCTGTGTTTCCATCCTTTTACCACGCGTTGCTCGCCTCTCTCTTGATTTACAAACCGTTTCAAACGAATGATACCATTCAAAAATACGATCGAATGCTTACCACTTGGCTACGATCAAACATACTTATTATGGTTAATATGTTGACTATCATTTCTCTTATTAAAATGGAAATGGTAAATTTAGTTACGAATGTAAATCGAATTTATGAATCAGATCAATGATTTTAAATTGTTTGGAACTAAGCATTGCTTGGAAATTTTGTGTTAGGGATATTAGAATCTTGATCGATTTAATGAAAATTTATATATAAATATAAAATACTCAATTCTCGTTTTTGTGTTATCCTGAATTTGACGAGATGTTCCACCAAGAGTTAGGAAATGGAAGAATTTGAATTTCCAATTTTTCGAATTTCTATTGTCACTTTTAAAACAAATTTTTTCAATGTACTTTTTTATTTTTCAAGTTCTACCTACTTCCTTGGACAACGACAAGGGTTCAACGACCAATTGAACGACACGTCAACGCGTTTCACTTACTTTGCACCGCGCGATTACGCCTGGCATGTAGCGGCTATCAGTTACCCATCCACTTCGAAAAAGATCTTTATGCCTGAATTCAGCTATCACGTAAGTGTATCTTCACTATATATAATACCTCGAAATAACATTTTAAAACTATTTACTTTCTTATACTGTCAAAAATGATTGTCTAATCTAGAAAACAACTTGTCCCCTTTTATATCTCTCATTTCAATAAATTTCAATATAAAAATCTACTCATAGACAAAACAAATCCTGGAACGACATCTCGTGATAGCAGACGAAGTATACACGATGGCCAAACTGAAGGAGATGAAGCACAACGACACCATCGTCCTTCCAGCAGCCAGAGACAGCCTGAAGCTTCGTATCAGGGAGCACAGCGAAAGTATGTAGGATATAACGAAACGTTTTAACAAATGATCATTTGCATAAGCACTCTTGCAATTACCCAGATATTCTCAGATACACTCAAACATTTTTGTTTCAAATTAGTTATTATATAAACGTAAATGTGTCCGGGAGTATCGTTATTGTTGTGTTCCGCTGTGTTCTTCTCGAATGGAATAAAGAGAGAAAATAACGCTTCGTACATAAGGCCCCGATCTATCGGGGCCCTGTCTCTGTTCATTCTCAAACATGATGCTATTTGGTTACATTTAGATGACAAGTACGACGAAAACATGATCCGTCCAGAAACTTTGGGTGAGTGAGTTCAGTGTTTAGACGTCGCCGATGAGCGACGACACGTGCTTCCACCAGTACGAGCTCTGCGCACATATTGTCAATTTGTGAAGGGTTCTCTATTTCTCAGCACTTTCACGCACCGTGTCTAACGCGCGTACACCTGATTGCGTGTATTTTTTTCAAACTTGATTGTCTGTTCGAATGATTTTTCTTACGATAAATGGATAATAAACGTGAAGATCAAGCGATGATGTGCTCTGCCAAACGTTTCTGGCGATTTCTTATATACGAACGCGTTAATTTCATTGTCTAAATTCTTATTGGATTTATCGTGGCTTCATACGTGTGTCATTTGAAATATTTTCAGAATTAAATGTATATGGTGAAAAGTTTTGAAAATTTTATTTTCTTTTTTTTTTTTTTTTTTTGAATGATTTTGAATGTACGTGCATATTTTGAAAATGTGGGTTGACGAGTAAAAATTATTTTTGAGTAAAGAATTAAGAAAGATTAAGAAATGAAGTTTTGTTTGGAATTGTTAGCTACAAATAAGTGGCTGTAATAAGATATTTAACCACTTAAAATAAGTTTACACAAGTTTTCTTTGAATTTTATGTTTCTATAATTTTTTTAAAAAATTAAAAAATTTTCGATATTACAGACTTTGGAGCATCATTTATTTTATCGATAATAAAATAAATTATATTTTGAAAAATAAAAATATATTCTCATTCCATTTAAAAATTTTTCAAATGACCAACGTATATGGAGACGAAAATTTCGAAATATACACATTTATCGTTTTTAATTAGAAACATTTACACTGTAACAACGAAAACATAAAAAAATATCATTTCCAAAAAAAAAAAAAATAGAAAGAAAAGAAAGAAAAAAACACGAAACAATTTTTGATAATGAGATACACAAAATAGTAACACGAAGTCATTTTACATGAAAATCGTTTGATCACGTGTCCTCGTTCACATTTTTACAATTTACATATGTTTTTGGTTGCATTTCGAATATGATTAAGTACGCGCGTTTCATGCAATTTCAGTGCTTGAAAGGAGGAATGCTTTTTTTGTTCTCAAAATACGTAGAGCGCGCTTATTCACTACGCAATTATTAATTGTTCACAGTCTAATTGTTGCTTTTTGAACGTATGCGTGCACGAAATGAACAAAAATATATATCTATCGTTTTAAATATATTTTAAATGTATTTCTATCATATTCGAATAAGTTTTGAATTAACTATCGGCCTAGATAGACGCGCAACTCTTACTTTTCTCTTAATATCTTCTCAGCTTTGTTTCTTTGTTTTCAGTAGGACGACGATTGAATTCGATAATAATGAAAATGACGATAATGTTATATTGCGAAATCATATTCATTGGCAGTGACTTTTATCAATGAATTTCCATGTCTAAATGAAAAGTAAATATTAAAATTTTTAATAAATGTAATCCTTAACATTAAAATTACCAAACTTTTCGAATTAATAATTTCACATTTTTTGCATTACAATTATTAAAAATATTTCTATTAAGTAATTTCAATTAAAATTTTTCGTATTTTAAAATATATTTTTATATTTATTACGAATAGTTTTAATGTTAAATTTATAGAAAGCAAAAATTCGAAATAAAGAAAGGCTGTGCTTTTTTTTCTAATATTTCAAATAAAAAGAAAATACAGATATGGAAATTCATTAGTAGAAGGGGAAAGAATAATTTTGAAATATTTTCACTATTCGTTAGATGCTCGATTTCATTCAATTTTTCCGTAATCTTCACTCTCATCATTTATTAGGGACAACAGTTCGTTGTGTCTCGAGATTAATATCAATTTAACGTGATAAGTTTTACAGATTTCTTCATATATCATAACATATTAATTACATATTCAAGCAATTGCACGGTGAGTATTCTTTTGATTTTGCAAAAACATTTGACACATGACGTATATGTTCTGCTTGTTGCTCGCTTCAACGAATCAATTAAGCTTGTTACAGTAAAACGCAAGACTAGGTTTTAACACGATTACGTCTGGTCATGCAGTCGTGTGCTCATCGTCGTCGTCGTCGTCGTCGTCGTCGTCATCGTCGTTTTTCTTAGACTAACACTCAAGATATAAAAAGCTTTAATATCGAATTTTATTTTATTTTATCAACGATGATTAAATCCACTTATTGGAATGATCAAATACCATAAATCATTTTCCCTTTAAGGAAAATTGAAATCTGAGAAAATTTTTACAAGAAGAGAGGGAATAAAAAAATAATAAAAGTAATAGAAATTTTATAGATATAATAAATAACTTCAGAGACTAACGAATTGATTAAATTTTTCAACCTAGATATTTTTTCTATCTTTTTTCTTTGCAACAAATTTTTATGTGTCGATTTTGCTTTGTTTTTTCAAAGTAGTGATTAAAATAATTCAAATCTATTTTTTTTTGTTAAAAATTAAGATAAGAAATCATAAAATAATTTTGAAAAAATTACGATTCATTCATTATCCTGCTACTTGGATATCATTTTAAACGTTTGTGTTATATGATGTCTATTTCGCGCGAAAAAAATGCGATGAAATGAGAAAAAGTTCCGGATACAGATAAATGCGAACGATTACGCGCGAAATATATTGGCTGCCATTTCCTTTCGTGACGATAAATGGTCGAGACGAGCGTGAAAACAGAACGATATGAATACCTGTAAATTGTCCTCAATTCTAGTTATCTATCGACGTTTTTAATTTACACGATATATTTACCGTGAGCTTTCTTCGTTGTTTCAAAGCGATCAAATTTGACTTTCGACAGATTCGTTTGAAAAAATTCCTATAATAAATTATAATAAATTATCACGATTGCAAATTTGATATAATGAAAAATTTTAGTCAAATGCTGATATACTGATATCAGAAATGTATCGTATTCTTACAACAATCGTTTAATTGTAGAAAGATTATTATTATTAACTTTTTGGAAATTTACCTAATTATTCTTTTCTATAATATTATTATTAATAAGTTATTAGTAGCAAGCTAATTATGTATCATATCTAAAATGTGATAAACGTAATAAATTTTTTTTTATTACTACTTGATAAAATTTTGAGCAAGAAAAATTAAATAAATCATTTTATAATTTTCATTTAATTTATATATAAAAAAAAACAATAGCACTATTAATGTATCAATTATTATAAATTATAAATTTCTTCTCTAACATACAAAATATACTTTCTACAATTACTCAACACGATCGATAAATTTCACATTCAATAACGAACATGAAATAATAGAAAAAGAAGGAAACGGCTCATTGGGGTGCAATTTGGTTTCGATACACGGTAATTTGGCGGCTTCCGGCCGCTCTCGGCAAGCGGAGACCGAAGAACGTGCACAATTATGGTGGGAGACCGCAAGACGATTTATTATGCACCTTTCGACCACCATTTAAATGCAAATTCCTTGATTACTCCTGGTGCTAATTGCCACGTGTTCGTTCGGTCATTCTCTTCGCCGCGAATTGTGAATCGTCAAAGTGTTTTCTGATTTCGATGAACGTTATCGCCTTACAACAAACGAATGCGAGAGAACGAGAGAGTTGGAAATATTTGATAATATCGAAAAAAATAATAAGAGGAGAAAATAAAAAAAGAATATATAATTTCTGATTCTTATGAAAGAATCATCACAGCCAGATTATTTCATTCCTCATTTTTAAGTTAATTTCTCTTCTTCTGTTAATATTTTGACATCGTTATGTTTCGAATATATGTATAATTATAGATTTATTGAAAATTTGAAATTTGAAAAATCATGAAAGTTTCCATATCTTCTCTACTACGTTTCTCTTTTAGAGAATTGACAAATGAAATATTATAAACTATTACGTTTGATAAACTAACAAGTATATACATACAATATATTTGCACATCATACATTCAAGATTCGAATCATTAAATGATGATTTTTTATTTCTCCAAAGATTATCCATAAAATTTCCTCCTTAAATTTTATACTCCAATATCGACATTAACGATTCTCACGTTTCCCAATGATACGTAGACAACACAACGAAAATAACGAACCGATCTAAAAACACGCGAGATTTTTCCATCCACGACAAACTGAAACCTCGATCATTAAACGAAAAAGCGCGAGAAATATCTTCTCGATCGACGAAACAGAACTAAAAAGAAACTAGATAACGATGCAACCAAGCATACGAATACTCGCTATATGCATTTTGCGTCTATGTGTTCCGTAGACCCAGAACTCGATATTTCAATCGCAATTTAGTGTCTCATCCGACTCTTCCATGCTCGACAAGTGAACATGCTCACTGGAATCTGTCTATCTGCTGCCAAAAAAAAAAAAAAAACATCGCAACTCGCTTCGTTTCATCCGATCCATCCGTTTCATCAAATCGATACGCAATGCCTTCTCCTCCTCCTCCTCCTCCATTACCGACTTATCGATCGAAACTCGTTTTTCTTTACAGTTTACCAGATCGAGTGGGAGGGCAACTGGATTCGGGTGTATCGTCCGGACGTCGAGTGCACCAACGGCATCATCCACGTGATCGACGCGGTGTTGTTGAAGGACAGTGACGTGAGGGTGACCGGAACAGCGTCCGCCACCAGCGTGGCATCGCATTTGATCATGATCCTGGTGGCCAAGTGGCTGCTTTAAGGACGGATCCTCTACCGGGGGTCTGTCATAGGTGCACCTAGGAATTTATTTTCGGGACCGTCTCCGATCGTCCTCGTCCGAGAGAGCGTGGTGCGCGAGATCCGGGTTCGAACTTTGAGAAAAATCCGTTTTTTGGGAGGAGCTTTCGTCAGGGTCTGAAAAATACCCTTTATAAAACCGATCCTGACCGTTGCTTGTATCGCCAATTTCGGGATCAGAGTGATCTCCGTGATCTCCGTTGTGACACTGCGTTAAACTGTGTTCGAGGGTTTTTGCTTTTGCCTCCCTTTTAATAGAGACAGAGAGAGAAAGAGAGCGAGAGAGAGAGCGAGCGAGAGAGAGAGAGAGAGCGAGAGAGAAAAATATGACAAAGCATCCCTTAATAAATGTGTTCCCTGTGAAGAAATCGAGGCACGATCGACGGATCGGGGACGATTCTGAATGAGAATTAAATTAAAAAAGGTCGAGGCTCTTGGACGTGATCGCTACGAAAGAGAGGATGATATTGTGATTTCTATCTCGATCAGGCAAGAGCCAGCCGATCTGTTATAAGAAACGTGGGCGAAGCTTAAAAAACAAGAAACGTACTATTTAGCAATTTCGAATTATTGTCGTGAGTAAAATGGTTCGCTAAAAGAGAACACGTGCAGGTGTTATTATTATTACGTAACGATAGAGATTCTCTTGATTTGAAGTTTTATCGTATCGATAGGAATTATCGGGTGTCTTATGCGCGTCGCGACCACGAGGAGTTCCTCGAGGATCTTGCACGAGAGAAAAAGAAAAGAAAAAATAGACATTTAACGACTATAAACGCGCGACAAGATTATTTCGCGAGTTGGAGAGACGCCATTGATCGTACCAAATGATTAATTAACCGTACCAACCGAGTAAATAAAATTTAGAGAAACTTTTAACGAAGAAGAGCGCGAAAGTAGAGGGCAGAGATTTCGGGGAACCTCTTCGAGTACAAGGGCAAGGATTGGCGTTTTCTAGTGCAGTACGTTCACAATTTCTCGTTACGCTGACAAAGAATAAAATTTCTTTTTATTCGAGCTTACGATTTCGTGTAAATTATAACGATTCAGTTACCGCTGAGCTGGCGTTCCTCTTTTCTGAACGACCTAGGATTAACGACCACGCGAAACTTTATCACACGAGGATCCATATCCTTTCGATATATTTTAGCAGAAACACACACGTGCAAAGGATAAATATTATATACCTGATATGTGTCCCTTGTCGGTTCAGACCGGGCGCCATTCACAGGTCGTAAACACTTTCGTACAATTAATACGTCTCGCCTAATTATGGTACTTCGATTTCATTGACAATGATACGCTATAGTTCTGTGTGTATGTATGTATGAGCGTCATTTCTGTTGGCCGAAGAAACGCGCGGCGAGGCACGCACGAACGCCAATGGAGAATCGGCCGTGTGTGCGGTTCGATATCGATGTACATAATGTAGGTAAAGCAAAACTCGTCCTTAAATATCCTCTCTATTCGAACGAAATTGAGAAACCGACGATTGACAGGCATCGTTGTTGATCCTCGACGCGTGGTTTCGCGCGCCTTAGATGTGATTTCTAAATACACTTGCTCTCTGTATCATATCGTAATACACTGTCTACTTACTGATAATACTGCCACGACGTCTCATTGCAAGCTCAAACGCGCTTGCAAACGAGTTTTTGTACAATTATCGTTGAAAGAAGAAGCGAAAGCATTATCCAGTAGAGAAGTGACTCGATCACATTCCGACATATTGCGGACTGTTCGAACGAATTTTCGCGGTTGGGGAGAGATATTGAAGACGAATTTATTTCTCGTTATCAAATATTTGACAAATACAATATAGAAATTTGAATCAAAATAAAACAACTTTCTTGTTGCTAATTGTAAAATAAATGAAAATTTTGATATTAATTATGGTAACAAATTGTATCTTTTTATTCAAATTTAAATTTATAGCTTTATTATAATCTTAATAAAAAGAATTGATACAAATTCAATGAGAATGGAACAAGCCAGAATTACAAGATGAAACGAATCCGTCTTCACCACGAGAATTTTTTCGAGCAGACTGCGCAACGCGTAAAATACTCATTCAGAAACTTTTTTTTAAACGACTGTACAGTGCTATATATATAATATATCTATACATATATATTATATAGAATCATCTGTGTCAATGCACCATGGTCACAATAGTGCATCTCTTTTGAGATTACCGTCGGATCCGTATTTTGTTTCTACCTAAGCGTAATTCAGTTTAACCTTTTGCAATTTTATATTAATCGATATCAAGCAAGAAAAAACGGTTTAACCAACTCCTATAATAGCTAACGTAATGACAATTTTAAAATATATAAGAAAATTTAATTTTAAAAGTTCCACAACTCCTTGATAAGATGGCAAAGGATAAACTGCAACCACGTGTTCCAAACTTGAGAAACAAACCCTTGAGAGATCACGAGCAAACGACACAACAACAAAAAACAACAACAACAACACAGTTTCATTCCACGATTAGTATGAGCTTAGCTATGTGTGCGTACAAGTAATTTATAATTGATCACGTGTGTCCGTCAAACGAAAAATAGTGATGTAAATCTATGAGAAACGTTGAGAGACGGGATGGAAGAGAAGAGGAGAAACCTGAGTATTCGAAGGTGAAGAAATTACAACGCCTCGAAATTTCGTTTCCTCCCCCTAGAACAAATCGTCGTGGTGAGAGGAGGAATGTGAAAGAGAGTCGTTCAGAGTAATCGAAACGCCGAAACTAAAAAATAAAAATAAAAAAAAGGAAAAAAAAAAAGACTATGAACGATCGGAGCGAATCTCGCGTTTCCGATTGTTTCACTCGTATTAGTTAAAAGAGGGAAAGAAAAATAGAAGACTTATTAAAGATTTTTCATTCAGCTACCGTACTTTTTCTCCGCGAAATGGAATTAAAAGAAGAAACGGATTAATAGAAGAATTCGATGTTATACGTGTTGATATCAGTCTATACATATATATAAAACAAAGTAAATAAATAAATAAATAAATAAATAAATAAATATATATATATATATAAAGTATATAATAAAACAGAGATATATTGACGAGGAAGAAAGTACGATTGAAGGGATGAAAAAGAACTGAGAGAGAGTGAGAGAGAAAGAGATAAAAAGAATATACAGAAATACTATCAAAAAATGATACCTTAAAACTTGTTGTTGGGATGAATTGATATTATGAATTATTATTATTATTATTATTATTACATATATAAATATACATAAACTCTAATAAACACTGTTTGTTCGTTAGACGAGAATTAAGATTGCAAATTAAAAAAGAAAAAAAAGGAAAAAAATAGCGAAACTCTATTTCTTCGTGTAGATGCGTCTTTAAATATTCAGCTTGTTCAAGCGTTACGCCGAAACGAATCGCGCATAATTCGCAGCTGTGTCCGGTGAATTGTGAATGGTGTGAATGGAAATGCGAGAGACGGAATTTCGAAGGAAATGTCGTCGCACGGAACTCCGTGAAAACTATCACATAGAGAAAGAACACCATATCCGACGCGTTCCTTATGACGGTTCTTTCAAATAGAGCTGGTGAACCCAGTTTTTCGTTCGAGCACGAAAACGTTACGAACTACGTCCTGGCTAACTCTGAACATATACGATAAATCTTGCAAATCGGAATGGAATCGTCGAATGAAAATTTTAGAGTAAAGGAATATATAGAGAGAAACATAGCACGTGATCAAAATCTAATGGAATCAAAGTCGAATTTGCAAATGTGAAGTGAAAAATTAATTTTTCACATATTAATTTCTGAAACAAACGAAAATCTTATCCGAGATAAAAATTTAATTCATTTATACTAAAATATATTAAAATAAGTAATTTATTTGCTTATAAAATTCCTATCAGATTCTTAATTTTTAATTTTAATGATTAAATTTCTTAATGAGGATCAGTATAGTTGTATGTTATTTTATTTCTTTTTATTAATTTTGTTTTTTTTTTCGTTTATATAAAAAAATTTTCTTTAAATTATTATTGATAATATCTTACGATAAAATGTCCCCTCTATAAATTTCTTTACTTTAAGATCGAAATATTAATCAAAAAGGGAAAGTCGATCGGGTCGATGATCGGAGACTCGTACATTTATTTGCATATCCAAACACCAGCACACGCCTCTCAGCTCTCTTTTGTCAGTTTTGGTGTAAAGAAAAAAAGTTGACGAATTTCCAAATGGATTGTACGTAGAAAGTAGAGAGATATTGGAAAATTGTACAGTTTGACGATGATATCCTTCGCGGTTTAATAAAAATCTCGAAGAAGTCGCGTCTGAAGTATTGTTGCTATATTTGAACGAACCTTTTAATTTTAAGCAGAACGAAATTTTTGGTACTGAATAATTGTACAATCGTCATAAAACACGTGATACGAGTAATAATACATAGAAAAGACAGTTATACGAAGTAATAACTGTTTTGTTATTAAAAAAACAAAAAAAAAAGAAAAAAAAGGAAAAAAAAGAATCATGTTTTAAGAATAAATCATCAAATTAAAATTCCATGTAACATAATAATTGAGAAATATGTTAAATTATATATAGGGATTTAATCAAATTTAACTCATATCAGAATTTCGTTGGAAATCTCTTTGTCCTTACATAAATATCTTTCAGTTCATACGTTTGCAACTGTATTCCTATCTCCTACGATACGTTCAATACGAGTAATGAATATCAAAATTAATAAGATAATTGGAGAATATATATTAATTACGAGTAATAAGAAATACGTTCACAAATTATCCCAATCTAACTTTCATTCTTTAAATCGTACGCATGTATAATATAAATGTTCCAAGAAAAATTTCTAAACAGAACCTAATTCGACTTTGATTATGCAAATTGTTAAATTCTTTCC